CACACAGTACTGTGGTAATTCACGGTGCTTCGGTAATTTGCTGATTATGTAGTCACAGTTTAGTAAAAACAACAACAACACCTGATTAAACTTATTAAATTTAATAGCCTTTATTAAATTTGTGCCAAGAAGCTAGACTTTATTTTTAATCATTCACATTAAGTCACTCCTTCCAGGTTTGGTTTTGTTTACCCTGCTTATTGAGTATGGTTTCATTTGCTGAACACAAGGCTTGGATATAGTGTTAGTAAAACTTGGATACATGGCTTCATCACATGTTAAATCTGGGACATCAATCAGTGAATGTAGTCATGAAGCTCACAGTCTAAGAATATGTGCATGGCGGTCTAGAAGACAGAAATTACGTTTGTTACTAGTTACAGATGCTTCAGTCTCCACTCACAATATCATAGGGAGCTACTTGCTTACATAACATTTTTAGGGGTAGCTTATAAATTAAGGGAGGATAATTAAGAAAGAGATTAAGGACTATAGGATACTCTTAATACAGTTGGCATATTACTAGTTTCCTCAAAACCTACTTTAAAAAAACAAACAGTTAAGAGCACTTGCTGCTCTTGCAAAGGACCTCGGTTTGGTTCCAGTACCTGCCTGGCACTGCCTGGCAGCTTACGACTGTCTAAGACTCCGTTTCTAGGACATTCAGAGCCCCTCTGGACTCGGCAGGTACCAGGCATATGTGGTACATATACATATATACATGCAGGCAAGCACTCATACCCATAAATTCTTCTTCTTTTTTGAGACAAGGTCTCACTATGTATCTCTGGTTATGCTGGAACTTACCCTATAGACCAGGCTGTCCTTGAACTCACCCAGATCCACCTGCCTCTGTCTCCTGAGTTCTGGGATTAAAGGTGTGTGTTACCATGCCTCGAAAAAATAAATAAATTAAAAAAATTTCATTTTATGACCAACTCAAAATATAGTTACATATGAGCTATCTATGTAATTGAATTTTCTAAGTAGTAACTAAATTATTAATAATTACATGGGGAAAAAGTAGCTATTTTTGATCTTTTTGTCTTGAATGAATAAAATAACATAGATTGTATCAGGTTGAATATATTTTTCTTTGTATTCTTTCAGATTCATCAGGATTCATTTTTGATTTGCAGTCCAATACTGTACTGGCCCAGGGAGGAACTTTTGAGAACATGAAGGAGAAGGTAAGATTAATTACCCTGGATATTAAATTTGAATACCATAGGAAAATTTATTAATATAAGCAGTGACTCACAAATGCATTATGAAAATGAAATCTGCCAGGCGTAGTGGCATATACCTTTAATTCCAGCACTCAGGAGGCAGAGTCAGGTGGATTTCTGTGAAGCTAGAAATCTGGTCTACATAGTAAGTTCAAAGCTAACCAGGGATAGTGATGCCTGTCTCAAAAAAAAGAGAAAATGAGCTGGGCTGTGGTGGCGCACACCTTTAATCCCAGCACTGGGGAGGCAGAGCCAGGCGGATCTCTGTGAGTTCGAGGCCGGCCTGGACTACAGAGCGAGATCCAGGAAAGGCGCAAAAGCTACACAGAGAAACCTTGTCTTGAAAAAACAAAAAAAACAACAAAAACAAAGAGAAAATGAGATCCTGTAACAAAACAGAATGCCACTATACAATCAAGGGTGACTGCCACCATGGTTCTGAGGAACCAGTTTATTTATTTTATTTTATTTTTTATTTAAATTTATCTATTTTATGTGCATTGGTGTTTTACCTACGTGTATGTCCATGTGAGGGTGTCAGATCTTGGAGTTACGAACAGTTGTTAGCTGCCATGTGGATGCTGGGAATTGAACCTGGGTCTTTTGGTAGAGCAGTTGGTGCTCTTAACCACTGAGCCATCACTCCAGCCCCGGAACCAGTTTATTAAAATGTGCAAAGGTGATTTTTTTTTTTTTCCAAGACAGAGTTTCTCTGTATAACAGCCCTGGCTGTCCTGGAACTCACTCTATACCCCAGGCTGGCCTCTACCTCACAGAGATCCACCTGCCTCTGCTCCTGAGTGCTGGGATTAAAGGCGAGCGCCACCACCGTCCAATTCAAAGATGATTTTTTTTTTTAAGATTTATTTATTTATTATGTATACAGCTACAGTGTTCTGTCTGCATGTATGCCTGCAGGCCAGAAGAGGGCACCAGATCTCATTATAAATGGTTGTGAGCCACCATTTGGTTGCTGGGAATTGAACTCAGGACCTCTGGAAGAACAGCCAGTGCCCTTAACCTCTGAGCCATCTCTCCATCCCCTCAAAGATGATTTTATTTGGATATTTCCATATGTATTGGTTCTGAATTCTTTGAAGACATTCAGTTTTAATGCTTTTACTAATATTTATATGATTGAGAAAGCATCTATTTTTTTGTTTATTTTTTTGAAACATAGGAAGAAGGCATCAAATCTCATTACAGATGGTTGTGAGCCACCATGTGGTTGCTGGGAATTGAACTCAGAACCTCTAGAAGAGCAGCCAGTGCTCTTAACCTCTGAGCCATCTCTCCAGGCCCCTCTCTCTATTGTAGCCCTGGTTGGCCTAGAACTTGGTATGTAGACCAGGCTGGCATTGAACTCATAGAAGTACTGACTGTATACCTCCCGAGTGCTGGGATTAAAGGTGTGTGCCCCCACATCTGTCTCAGAGACAGAATTTTTAGTGGGTTTTTTTTTTTTGTTTTGTTTTTTGAGGCAGGGTTTCTTCATGTAGTTTTGGTACCTATCCTAGATCTCGCTCTGTAGCCCAGGCTGGCCTCGAACTCACAGAGATCTGCCTGGCTCTGCCTCCCGAGTGCTGGGATTAAAGGCGTGCGCCACTGCCACCACCCTGCATGTTTTTTTTTTTAATTAACAGATATTAATTATACATGGTAATTGGCTAGGGTATAAAGGTCAAAACAAATCCATATCTAAAATTTGATGACAATGTTGTCTTTGATTTGAGGATGTCAGTGTGTACTTGTGATTTGACAAAAAACATCTCTTATTGTATCCACTGAAAGGATGTACAGTGACTTCCTAGTAGCAATAAGCTCATATAACTCCTAGATCTTGATTTCTACTGTTTTCTATCAAAAACACCCTTAGCACTTCCTTAAGAAATAATTAGTTATATATTGTACAGTAAGACAAATAAAATTGAAAAGGAAGAAAAGACAATTATCTACACAGAAAAATCCATGAAAACAAAAGAACAGGACAGACGAGTTTCTCAGTGAAGCTAGGCATGGTGCTGCCTGTCTGTAATCTCAGCATTGGAAGGCTGAAGTGGGGTAAGCTGAGTTTGAGGGCAGCCTGTGCTTCGTAGTAAAAGACCCTGGTTCAGCAAAACAACAAAAACAAAAAAGAGATCATTGTAATTGCTAGATGTAAAATAGATACATGATAATAAAATATTTGGGGCCGAGTTTTTTTATGTGTATGTGTGTTTTGCCTCCATGTATACATGCGTTCCGTGTGTGTACCTGATACCCGAGGAGGTCAGAGGAGAGTGTCACATAAAGAGAAAGCTGGGTGAAGTAGACCCCTGGAGTTTGCTGGCCAGCCAGCCCAGCCCAGGGCAGTAAGGGAGCCTGTCTCAAAAGAAAAACAGTGGGCCAGGAGGTGGCCCATGCGCCTTTAGTCCCAGCACTCGGGAGGCAGAGGGAGGTGGATCTCTGTGAGTTCGAGGCCAGCCTGGTCTACAGAGGGAGTTCCAGCCAAAACTGTTACACAGAGAAACCCTGTCTCAAAAAACCAGAAAAAAAGAAAAAGAAAAACACTGGACACCTGAGCTTGTCCTCTGACCTCTGCACACATGTCATGCACATGTTCTTGCATGCACATGTGTATATGAATATTTTGTTTTTAGTTAAAACACCTATGGAAAAAGTGACGAAATTGTAATATCTGCCGGGCGTGGGACACACGCCTTTAGTCCCAGCACTCGGGAGGCAGAGGCAGAGCTATGAGTTTGCGGAGTGAGTTCTAGGCCAGCCAAGGCTACATAGTGAGATCCTGTCTCAAACAAACCAACACAAACAATTGGCTACATCCATTTGACAGAGCAGGGTGGCATTATCAGAGAAGTACTGATTTCAGGTCCCATGCCACCAGAATTCTAGTAGACAGAAGACATGGCCTTCGTCGCTCCCAGTGTTGTTCTAGGCACTAAGGACTCAGCAGCAGCAGACGTCAGACTGTGGTCTAGGTTTGGAGCTGCAGTGAGTAACAAAAAACTGACAGTTATATAATATAAAATAGCTTATATTACCTATGGAGATATACACACATCATGAAAATGCAAATATACTGAAATGAAATCATATTCTGGAGTAGGAATTTCAGGAGAACTAGGATTTAGTAGATGTCCATTGGGCTTTCTTTGCATTTGTTTTGTTTTATTAAGCTGGGTTATTACCAGTTGTTCGTTATGTTTTATACGCCCAAAATAGCTTATAATAACTCAGTATCTCTGTACGTTATCTCTGTAGACTTTATACAGCTAATTGACACAAAGTAAGAGTGTTTGAATAGTGCTATATAAACATCTGAGTTGCTCCGAGGTGAGAGCCCCTGCTGTGCGGGCCTGAGGACTTGAATTCAGGTCCACAAAACCCACACACACTGCATAGACCTGTGGCCCCAGCACTGGGAGGCAGAGACAGGAGCATCGTTGGTGCCTCTGCTGCCAGCCTCACCCCAGCTTCAGTGAGAGACTGTCTCAAGGGAAAGAGTGGAGAGTTCTAGAGTAGAACCGCCAATGGCCTCTGGCTTCTACACGGTGCATGGGACCTTGTACCCAGGTACATCTGTTCATACACACCACACTCACACAGACATAACACAGACATAAAAAAAAAAACCAAACCTAAGCTGTTAGGGTGAGTGGTTCATTCAATTTCCTAATATAGTATGCTTACAGTGAAGAACCATTGATGGAAATTTTTATTTTATTTTTTAAATTATTTGTTTTATGTACATTGGTGTTTTGCCTGTATGTATATCTGTGGGAGGGTGTTGAATCCCCTGGAACAGGATTTGCAGACAGTTAAGAGCTGCCATGTGGGTGCTGGGAATTGAACCCAGGTCCTCTGGAAAAGGAGGCAGTGCTCTTAACCACTGAGCCACATCTCTAGCCCCTACTGATGGTAAACTAATAGCTGGCGCGTAAATGAAACTACAGTTAAGTAATACCACATCTTTTTGTTGTTTGAGACAAGATTTCTCTGTTTAACAGTCCTGGCTGTCTGGAACTTGCTTGATAGACCAGGCTGGCCTTGAACTCACAGAGATCAGCCTGCTTCCACCTACCAAGTGTGCACCACCACTGCTCAGCACTGTAAATGCTTTTATTCACTGACCATCTGAATGGTGCCCTTCTATTTCTAAAAAGTTTCTGCCTTTTTAAATTTTGAAATTAAGTTTTCATGTGGTGTTATCATTTTTCTGTTTATTATTCCCAGTGCGATGGTTGTGTGTGTTCTTACTGACATTACAGAGTGATAATATTGCTGAGAGGAAAACGACACTGTTATTCTCCCTGACACCCTTCAGCTGGCCAGTGACCTACTCATGTTAGAATTAAATGACCCTGTCATCTTTTGCAGATAAACGCAGTGCGTGCAATAGTTCCTAATAAGAGCAACAATGAAATCATCCTGGTTCTGCAGCACTTCGATAATTGTGTGGACAAAACAGTACAAGCATTCATGGAAGGTAATTCTGTCTCGAGTTTAGACTTTGGAACCTGAGCCGTAGTGTACAGTCTGATGACAGTACTGTCATCTTGTGTTACTGTGAGGGCCAGTAAGAGGAAACTCAGAAAACTCCTTTGTTATTAAAAGTGTTCTCTACTAGTGTTTAAGAAATCAGACCAAGTGTGGTGACGCATTCTGTAACCCCAGAATTGGAGCGGGGAGGCAAGAGGACTGTGACTTGGGGCCAGCTTTGCGTATATAGTGGGTTACAGGCCAGTCTCTTACTATATAGTGAGGGACCCCCCCCCCCCCAAACAAACTGTGCAGCTGATGGCATAAGGGATTTGATGGAATTGGACAAAGTAATTTAAGTGGCTATTGCAAAGGGGTAACTCAGTGGCCCAGGAACAGATGACCAACTCCAGGACAAACTCACTGTGATTCAGTTTGCTTCTGGCAGGTGACTCGAGTGTACGAGTGCAGTTTCCTATGTTTTCTCTATGTTCCATAGAAAGCGAAAGCCTTGTTCCGCTCCTTAGATCTGTCGAGTTAATAGTGTTTCAAACTTCTTAAGCTGTCTTGCCTGTGAGCAGAGTGGTGTCAGATCAAGGCTCTCTGCTGCGTTTTCATGGATTTGCAAGGATAGGAAAAACAGGTCCAAGCCTACAGAGCATTTCCCTATCGTCACGTTTTCTTTAGAATGTTAGGGTTTGAGTCTCTTGTCGGGTGTAGCCCTTCCCAAACACCACAGTCAAGACGGTATGTAACATGGAGGGGAGAAGACAACACACTTAGGTGAAGACTAGTCTTTGTGTTCAGACCAAGATGTTTCGATAAAGAATCTTAAATGAGCAGGAGACCTCAGTGTAGCTGAAACAAGACAGGGTTGTCTCACCACAGTAACCAGCAGTTAGGAAATGCACTGATTCCTCCTTGACTTTGTGTGTGGCACAAGAGGAAATCTCTGTTTGATTTCTTTTTCAGGTAGTGCCAGTGAAGTACTCAAAGAATGGATAGTAACAGGCAAGAAAAAGGTAAACATGAATTACATGTGAGATCATGATATTGGTGTTGTTTTTTTCAAATGAGGCTTTAGGGGCTGGCAAGATGGCTTAGCAGGTAAGAGTAGCATACTGCTCTTGCCTCTAGAGGACCTGGGTGCAGTTCCTGGCTCCACATGGCAGCTCACCAGGTCCAGGGGATCTGGACCTCTTTTGACCTCCACAAGCATTAGGTGCACATAAGTATAAGATGGCAAAGCACTCCACATAAATTTTAAAAAGGTTTTAAAGAGCCGGGCAGTGGTGGCATATGCCTTTAAGACACTCGGGAGGCAGAGCCAGGCGTATCTCTGTGAGTTTGAGGCCAGCCTGGTCTACAGAGTGAAATCCAGGACAGGCACCAAAACTACACAGAGAAACCCTGTCTTGAAAAACAAACAAAAAACCGTGTAGGGGCTGGAGAGATGGCTCAGAGGTTAAGAGCACTGGCTGCTCTCCCAGAGGTTCTGAGTTCAATTCCCAGCACCCACATGGTGGCTCACAGCCATCTGTAATGAGATCTGGTGCCTCCTTCTGGGGTACAGGCGTACATGCAAGCAGAACACTGTATACATGATAAACAAATCTTTAAAAAAAAGGTTTTAAAGAATATTAGGTAATATTTAAGAGCTTCTTTGGAGGGCGTTGGTGGCGCACGCCTTTAATCCCAGCACTCGGGAGGCAGAGCTAGGCGGATCTCTGTGAGTTCGAGGCCAGCCTGGGCTACCAAGTGAGCTCCAGGAAAGGCGCAAAGCTACACAGAGAAACCCT